CCCTTCCTGACATCCTAATTAAGGAACAAGATAGATAATTTAGCACATAATTCCAAATGTGATCGCAACTTGCCTCACACGTTAAACTATAACAATTATGTATATTCTACCACACAAACAATTCAATTCACTCCACATAAGCACTTAGTCACGTAAGCACATATGAATTATCCTTTTGTGATGAGATTCGTCCCACGAAAAACCAAGAATTCTTAGTAGAATGAGTATTGATCAGGTACTCTTCTAATAAGACTTCAAGGAATTTAATATGCACAAATAACATCCCAAAAGTCTAATCTCATGCCCATATAGTCACATAAGCATGTTATCATGTAATCACGAAAAACAAAACATTTCCAAATCATGCGAAATGAACCCATTGTGGCAAAACAACCACTTCCCACGAGCCCCAAGTATTCAAACCCGGTAGCTCTGATACCAAGTTGTAATGTCCCAAAATAATCCAACATAAATCTAATACATAAACCCACGTCCACTAAACAATGATAACAATACTCCAATCATTATACTGTCAATCAACAAGATTTATACAAAAGTTCCACATGCGAATTATAGATTCAATGATATAGAAATATATGAACCTATAGTATGTAGAGCATCATGTTCAAAAAATAATGAAATGCCCTCATGGGCTTACAATTTCCAAGGCTTAAGCCTGGTTACATAAAAATGGCCTCTTGGACCCATACATGAATAGCCTTTGGCTAGCAATTAAATCATAACAAAATAGAGTTATCACTTTTCAGAACATATCTACGCCCTCAACTTGGCGGGATCACCACGTCTTTTCCTGCACCAAAACCCATAGGGGTGAGCATAAAGCATAGTAGAGAATCCTTAACAAAGTATATATATTTATGCAATATTTCCAATATTAGATGCAAATGCGAATGCCATGCAATGCCATTTTAAAGAAAAATTCATTTCAAGCTCTTCTTGAAAATCACCATGTTTCAAAAAAACAGTTTGCAATCTCAACAGTTTCAAGACTTACAATTTTAATCAATAGGGGTTGTAAATACGGCTCTGGTAATCCCTAGGTTGGTGTTTGCAAATAGGCTCAACAAGCACAAACAATAATCCCACTTTACCGGTTGCTAACCGGAATGGAAGTGGTACCTCCTCCGCGCTTGTTTTCGGTCTTTTACCCCGGACACTTAAGCCAACTTATCAATTTCATCTACACCTCCTAATCGGACTTACCAACGTATTTACCCCATAAACATTTCCATAGTTCCCATTTCAATATATACTTATTTCATTGCAAACATTTCCAAACTCAAGTCAAAATGCGTAATAATTGATGAAATGAGTGTGTAATGCAACAATTATTAATGCCTCGTAACATTATTCATTTTTAAGTATCTCAACAATAATGCTACAACAACCACATTTCTCATTTTCCTTCTTCAATGTTATTTATCACAAAATAGCTATGTGTTCAATTTACATCACTAACAAGTGACAATATTTCTCCCACCTTGTACAATTCTCAACTTTCATCTCATAACTACATATATTCATGCATTCAACAAAATTTAAAACAAATTCCCAAACCTCATGTACTATGCAACATTGTCATTTTTGCAACAATATTATGAAATTTTCACTCATTCCTCTCCATGACACAAGAAAATCCATTAATCCCCACATTGTTTCTAAAACCCCCAATTTCTAGGTTTTTCACCAAAAATCCCAACATGTGTGGTTCAACATTTCAAGAAAAGTCTTTAAAAAGCACAAAAGATGAACTTTTTCTACAACACCGTAAATTTTTTTGAACCCAAAACCCATTTTCAAAAATCAACAAAGAAGAGTTCTTAAAATCAATCAAAAGCTTGCAAAACATATATATAACTCTAAGTGATTTCCTACCCAAGGTTTGAAGAAGAAAAGGAGATGAAACCCTAGAATTGATGGTGTTGGAAAGAGATCTCCACCGCGCACAATATAGCTCTTGAGGAGTTCTTTATCTTTGATGAAGGAGCTAGGGGTGAATTTCAAATGGATGGGAGAAGATCAAGAGTTTTGATCTTGTTTTGAGGTAGGAGCATAGAGAAAAGGGAGAGCAATATGTTGGTGATACACACAGCCAAAAAAAGAAGAAAAAAACAGAGCCTCTCGGACTCAAGCCCGTCCGCACATGCGGCACTTGCCCCCGCACATGCGGAGCGTACCTCCCGCACGTGCGGCTCTGATCCCCACACGTGCAGCTCCTTCCGCACCTCCCCCTTCGCACCTGTATATAAAGCAATGTGCAACCCTCCAAAGCTCAGCCTTATTCCCCGCACGTGTGGCCTCATCCCCTGCACGTACGGCACCACCATGCACGTGCGGCCCTAGCCCAACAACCCAGAATTTTCTGGTTCGTTCCCAGGCACTCCAAACTTGGCTGTGCACCCACCAAAATAAGTGAAATTCAACATCGAACAAACACAAGAACAAAAATTTTATTTGAGGAGAAAGTTTCGGACATCACAAACCCAAAGAAGACAAAAGTGAAGTGACATAAAACGAGACCAGTCATCACATTCCACAAATTGAACTTAACATACACTTAGTAAAGATGCTCAAACATGAGGCATATTAAGGCATGTATTGAAGATTCAAGGAGAGGGGATGGCCCTCCCCTTCTTAGGACCTTAAAACACCATCCCCACCACTGAAATCCCCTTGGATTTCAGTGGTGAGAAGGCCAATACAAGGTGGTCCCGAAGCTCACAAAAAAAAGGCTCAAAAACAAAGCCAAGCAAGGCTTAAGACGGGGTAAACAACCCCAAACAAAAAAGTGATCTAAAACAAACTTTTTAAGAATGCAAAAATAGAACTTTTATCAATTATGAGATAAGCTTAAAACAACATGCAAGATAGGCTAAAAGCTCAAGCAAGAAAGGGGGATTTAAAGGTCGAAAGCTCACCCTTGAAGACCTCCTTTACAACTGCAACTCCAGCAAGTTTTTTGAGGTTAAATCAGTCCAAGAACACCAAAAACAACTGCTTAGGACCTCAGCTACCCAAGGATGGTGTTTGAGTGTGTGTTTGTGTGTTAAACTACGACAAACTACACTTTTGAAGCACAAAAATGAAGAAACAATGAGATATAGATACAACACTATATCTATCCCTCTCAGCTGGTTTTTTTGAACCTAGAGGAGGGAGGAAGAGCTTCCCTCTTATAGAAGAGAAAAGGCAAAGCTTCTAGGAGAAGCTAAGCACCAAGGCAATCCCTCCATACACGTGTATGGAGAATGGCCCTAAAGTCCTCCAGCTGTGCCAGTTGGAGGAAAATATCTCCAAAAAGGTGTCAAAAAGTAGCCGACCACTTGAAGTGGTCGGCCTGCTACTTAAAGTGGTCAGCCGACCACTTCAAGTGGTCCACAAAGACAAAAATTGGTCAGCCATGGTGGGAGAGGGTCCTGGGCATGAAAACAATGCAGTGGTGCGGTGGCCGACTAGAAAAGATGCCCCAAAGACCAAGAAAGTCAGTTGTCCAACCAGAAAACTGGCTGGCAGAGGAAGAAGTGGTCGACCAGTAGAAATACTAGTCTCCCCCTTGGACCACCTTCCAAACAAGGAAAACAAGGTTTGTACCAAAAACGAACCAAAGCGGGTGCAAGACGAGAGATCGGGAGGCAAAGTACGCAGCCGAAAGCCCGAAAACTAGCTGACGAGCACCAAAAGTGGTATGCAACCACAAAAGTGGTCTCCCAGACCACAGTGTTCCTCTAGGCAGAGGCAACAAGGTGTGGTTCAAAAATCACGCCAAACGGAGAACGTTAAGTGGTTCCGAGACAAGGCACGCGACCAAAGGCTCCAAAAACCGAAAACTAGTCTCCAAACGGAAATAGTGGCCTATGACCACAGAAAGTGGTCTAGGACCACAAAGAGATGGTCTGCAAGACCCCTCCCTCCCTCCGGGAAGAGAAACAAAGTTCGATCCACAAACCGAGCTGAAGCACCAAAAGAGTTCAGAGGCCCGGAGGCAAGGCTCTTAACCAAAACTTCGGAGACTCGAAACGAGCACAACATGCACCATCATCGAGCGCTCAACCGATGACGTCTAAGTCTTAAGGTCGGTCAAAAATGAGGTAACTACACACACACACACACACAAACACACACATATATATATGTGTGTGTGTGTGTGTGTCATAGTGGGACACCTAGTGCTAGTGTTAGTAGTGCATGAGTCTATATTACACAGAGTTACCATGACTAAAAGGCAAATTATAATAATGTCAAACAAAGCTACAAAGCAAATAACTTTTGATACATGGACATGCAATTTCAAGGAAAAATCAAGATACAACGAAATGATAGTTTTAAACGAAATGATAGTTTTAATTTAACAGGAATAAATATTGGTAATCCCAAACACACAATCTTAGCTGGACACATAACATCACATGAACATATGTTTGATATAATACAATCTAACCAAAGGAGGAAAGTGACAGTTACTTATCAATCAATAGATTAAAGATTGTCGAGGCAACAATAACATAAAGCTACTGCTTGTATTCTACTGGCTGTTGAAGTAGCATATATATATATACATTGTTAAGGTAACCATTTATGGAGGACCTTGGAAGTAACCTTGATCAACAAAAAAATAAACATGCTTTAGTTCACTTTAAGCTACTAACTCATATTTGCTACATGAATTGATTAGAATAAAAAAAAAAAGAAAATGAGAAAATGAAATTGAGATTCTTCAATAGAGAGAAAGATGTATTTTGGTAGAGTAATGTTATATACACGGATTTCTCATCAGATTTTCTTACCATTAGTCACAAATTTAGCAATGGCCATATTAATAAATATAGGCAGAATTCATGTCTCTGTGTCTAGTGCTAAGAAATTCGAATAAAAAAAATTGTTTTCAATATAGCATTTTCTATTTTAGTATGCATATGTGTAGGTCAAGAGGGTATGCTACAAACCTTTGGTTTTCATGTTGCAAAACCTCTTCCAACTTCCTAGTCTGTGTTCAACCCTTCATTCATGTAAGTATTTTTGATCTTATGCAATTCACTAATAACACTCCCCATTTCCATTCGATCTCTTGTTGATTCCATTGAACATGCAACCCCAATTCGTAGAATCGAAACCATGCAGTCTTTAATCCACCTTCTTGTGTTATGCTCCAATATGATGCAAGGATCCACAATCTCCATCACTCGATCAGGCAATGCATTCTTAACGAAATTATGAAGATTTAGATGATCCTTAAACATGTCTTCAGTTGGTTTCTTACCTGTAAACATCTCCAGTAAAAGAATCCCAAAGCTGTATACATCCCCTAGTGTGGAAGCCATGTCCCCCATGCCATACTCTGCAAATTGTTTCCAATGTTAGTGTGAAAAATGAGTCTAGGTAGTTGGCATAGTTGTAATCTCAATAGATGTATTTAATAATTTTTTTAATGAAACTCAACAAATTTTTAATGCTCTGATGTCCTTAATTATGTCCCCCTCTCAGTTACAATATTTTTGTTTGTGTTTGTAACTGACTAAGTGAGACAATTGTTGAGAATGACATAGTTTGATTGTATTTTTTACTGAAGGAAACAAAAATTAGTCTTGCATGAGATATTCTGTTAGAATCAACTCCAAGCAATGAGTAAGTTTTTAGAAAATGCTTTGGTAGGAAACTAGTTTATTAATTCTTTCCACTAGTAGATACCATGGACTATTTTGATCAGACTAAAATTACATAAAGAATATTTATAACTAAAAAAAAAAAAACAGAGAAGGCACAGAGGATTAACACAAGCTTAAAATAGCCAAGTTTAAGCATGGCCACATTAAATGATGTACACTTCAATGGTAATATTTATACTAAGATTAAGGATGACCACATTAAACAAAGTAAACTTAGTACTTGGTTTGCTAACAGTGAGGAGGCGGAAGCACACATTAGAAGCATTCATAAATGGCATGGAATCTACATAAAAATAATGATTAAAACTATGTAGGTGCCCACTGTTTTGTAGAAGCCATGGTTTGTATGTTTATGCCGAAATGTATTCATGTGTGTATATATATATATTATATTTTTCCTATTGCAAGTTCAGTTTTTCTACTCCAAGGAAATTTAAAAGATTTTCCACCTGGAGCAACATAGCCTATGGTTCCCCTTATTGCAACTGAATTGCTTTGACCGTGTGCCACATCACTTGAAGCGGTAGAAATAATTTTTGCCAACCCGAAATCTCCAATATGGGCAATCATCTCATCATCCAAAAGAACATTACTTGGCTTTAGATCACCATGAATAATTGTCGACTCACAACCACAATGAAGATATTCAAGTGCAAAGGCAATATCCGTTGAAATGTCCAGCTTCTGGATTAGTTTAAGATTTCTAGGTTCCTCTTGCTGCTCATGGTCTCCAACTCCGACTTGATGCAACCAATTGCCCAAGTTTCCATTGGCCATAAATTCATATACCAAAGCTTTGAATTCATTACCATGGAAATCCAAACTGGAACAAACGCCCAAAATTTTCAAAAGATTTCGATGCCTTATGGCTCTTAGTGCTTTGCATTCTGACATGAAGCTCTTAGAAGCTCCTCTGGTCTGAAGATTGAGCACTTTCACTGCAACAACCATGTGAACGTGATTAAGAATCCCTTTATAAACTGAAGCATAGCTTCCAACACTAATTAGAGTGAACGTGATTAAGAATCCCTTTATGAACGTGATTAAGAATCCCTTCATCCTGTGAGATAGCTTGTTGTTGCTTGATTTGGAGGATGGACAAGGAGGAAGGTCTAATTTTGCAATACCTCCACATAGCTCATTATTTCCGACAATTGAAATTGCACTTGAATTTTGAAACACTCCCTGTGTGGAAACTTGTCCATGTAGCATATTAAAAGACAAATTCAACATATCTAATTGAATCTCACCTAGAAAGCTTGGGATCAACCCTGACAAATTATTGCGCGAAAGATCCAATACTCTTAAGCCCCTCAACATGCTCAAACTTTGAGGTATCTCTCCTTCAAATGAATTGGCCTCCAAGTGAAGCCATTCCAAACTCAAACAATTGCTCAGCGTGTTTGGTATGGGTCCTGATAATCTATTATAGGATACATCCATGTCTCCAAGTTTTGTCAAAGAGCCGACTTCTGATGGAAGAGAACCAGTTAGTGCATTGTGATCTAACCAGAGGAATTTTGAAATGGAGTTGAGACTCATAATTTCAGGGGGTATTGAACCATGGAGATTATTTTGAAAAAGGGCTAATTCCAACAAGCTATGACAATTGCCCAAACTCGGAGGTATGCTTCCATGGATTTTGTTTCCTTCCAAGGCGAGACTAATCAATGAAGTCAAATTACCAAGCGAAGATGGAAGTTCTGTGAATTTTTTGTGGCCTAAGAACAGATATTGCAGATTTTGAAGTCTGCCAATGGAGGATGGAATAGGGCCCGCAAGATTATTCTCTGCCATAGATAAGACAGTGAGGTTGAGTAGGTTCCCGATGCCAGATGGAATGATTCCATGTATTTGATTAATCTGCAAATTTATCAAGTTAAGATATGTGGAGAGATTAGCTATGGAGTCAGGCAATGAACCTCTAAAAAGATTACTACCCACTTGAATATCTTGTAAACTGGTGCAATTTGTTAGAGACGAAATAAAAGCCAAGTCATCCTGCAACCGATTTTGATAAACATTTATAAATCCAAGACCCAAAAGTTTTCCAAGATTTGTTGGCATTGTCCTGCTAAAATCATTCTGAGAGAAGTCTATTGATTCAAGCTCGGAAGCATTTGACAGTGAAGTAGGAAGTGTTCCAGTAAACAAAGTGGTGAAAAGATAAAGAAACTTGAGATTAGGGAGTGTGGAGCCTATATCAGGAGGAATATTTCCTTCAAGTTGGTTATCAGCTACTGATAACGAAATGATGGTGGAGATATTGTAAAGGCCAGATGGAACCTTGCCAGAAAGGTTATTCACAAATAACTGGACATATCTCAGGCCTCGAAGCCTTGCAATTTCCTCCGGAATCTCCCATGCAAATTACATTCTGCTAAAGAGATTTGGTAAAGAGATGAGAGGTTTCCAATGAAAGGAGGGATGGTACCTGAAAGCTTGTTTGTACCCAGGGCTAAAGTTCCAAGCCTTGACAAAGTGCCCAACTCAGCTGGGATGTTTCCGGTTAGGTTGTTGTCGATCAAGTTCAGCCATTCAAGTTTTAAGCAGCGAGAAAGGTTGTTGGGAATTCCACCGCCAAACGAATTATTGCTGAATTCTATTGTTTGTAGCCGAAACAAGCGACCCATCTCCTGTGGGATTGGGTCATGGAAGCTATTGTTTTGAAGAACGACACTTTTGAGAAAGGAGAGGTTTCCGACATGAGGTGAGAGTGATCCAACCAGGCCTTGCGACCTTAGAGTTATCCTAATGACTCTATCAGGATGTCGACGACTGCACAAAATACCGTTCCAGTGGCAATAGTGGAGTGAATGATTCCAGGAGGTGAGGGCACCAAATGGGTCTTGAACAACTGCAGCCTTGAAGGCCTCCAATGCAGCTCTATCTGTCGCATTATTTGCCATAGAAGTGGCAGCAGGGATACTGCAAAAATAGCAACACCACACAAGGGCAGTGCAGAGCACAGCAAGCCACTTGGACATGATTTTTTTGTAATGGATGAATCGATTATTTCATCAAGATAGTATATATATAATATTATAATATGAAATTTCCTAGGCTTTTTTACTTTTAAATTTTATTATTTAATATTATTTTATCTTCTTAAAATGTGAGCCGTTAAAGGAAAAAAGTTGGTTGAGACAGACACTGAAAGACTTGGAGTGAAGATTACAATACGGCAATAGGATGGAAATTAATGTTGATGGTGGTGGAAGCAATCATAATAGAGAAAATTTTAGGTCTGCCTCTGATTTGATCGAGAACTGAATGTTGATTATTTCGTCAAGATAGCAATCGTAATGAATTTTGATCGAGTAATCGCAATAGGATGGAAATGAATATTGATAATCATGATGGTGTGGAAGCTATGTACCATCAATTGTAGCGTGTTTTTGGGTCTGATTCATAGCAGTTTTGGAAGCAATCGTAATAGAGAAAATTTTATGTAATATTTGATGGGAAATTATTCAATACTCCTCGAGCACCATGTGTCCATACTCCAAACCAATCACCAATTACTTAGCCCCATGTTGTTCCCCCATCACCAACATAAATCGTGGGCCCTTGTGTCTCTCTACCAATCAAAACTTTATTGAGCATCACGTGTCCATACTTCGGAAATATTAAATAACCACCCATATTTGGTTTATTTTTAAAACATTATTTGGATCAAAATATAAAAAGTTTTGTTTGGTTAACAAATTTTTAAAATACAATTCAAAATTTAATTTTCTCTCTGCCCTCCCCTATTTTTTTTTTATTATTGCTAAATCAATCAATTACTTTTTCTCTCTCCTTTCATCTCTTTCCTCTGTCATTTATTCTCTCACAGTTTACATATCAATCAATCAAATTTTCTCTCATACTCATCTATTCAACTAAAAAAAATTACAAATCATCCTAAAACTATTTTCAAAAGTCATAACTAGATAAATTTTCAACTTTCAAAACTCTTTTCAACAACTTGAATTTATATGTTGAAATTGATTTGATAAATGGTGGATTGGGTATCTCTATGTTCTATGGAGGAATTTTATAAGTGATTGAAGAGATTTTACTTAAGTTGTTGAGTTTATACAAAAATGTTGATTTTTTTGACTTTTGTAGTAAATTGATAGTGGTATTGTGCATATAAATTGATTTGGATATTTAAAAAGTTACTAACTCAAAGATGTTCAAAGGATGGGTGTTATGGAGATTGGATAAGTTATTTTTTTGGGTGACTTAAAGTTGGAGGAGTTCTTTAGCTTGCCATTCCTTAGCATAATTTTATTTAGGATCATTTTTGTAGATGTTGTAATTTTTATTGAAAGCTTTTCCTAATTTGAGATCCTATTTACTAATTGTTAGGATTGGAGGAAGGCATCTCTACACCTCTTGGAAATTAATTTGTAGAGTTTTAAATCTATACTTTTGCTATTTTTGGAGGTGAGTATACTTACCATGGAAATTACCTTACCTCTATCTTTATTACAAAGTTTGAAAATAATTTTTGAATTAAAGGAAGTGAATGATACATTTCATCATGATATATGTATAAAAAGAAAATGTATAAATTTATTGAGGCCAAGGGTTGAGTTTTAATAAAGATATGATTTCATTTGTATAATGAAGCATTAATTGTTTTTTATGAGAATTTATTTAAGTTGAGTCTTTCAAATTTTATGATGATGATGATTGAATGACAGTGAAATGTTATGTGAGGGTATTTATTTTATTGACCATATAACCGAATATAGAAAATCACCTCAGTGTAATAACTATGCTTTGGGGTCCTGGGGACCAAAATGTTTTAAGGACCATAATGGTCGTTGTATGTATAAGGGGTCCCGGGGACCGAAACATTGAAACAAGAATTGAAGTGCTACGATGACATGAGCTATGTTCCTATGGTTATGTTTGTATTTTTACGAATCTCGCCATGGAAGGGAGTGATGCGATTTGGTAAGAAAGGCAAACTAAGTCCAAGGTATATTGGGCCATTTGAGATATTAGAGCGCATTGGCAAGACTGCTTATCGTTTGGCCTTACCACCTAGTCTATCTCGCATTCACAATGTGTTTCATGTATCCACATTGAAGAAGTACATGCCTGACCCATCACACGTGTTAGATTTCCAACCAATCCAACTCAAGGATGATTTGTCTTATGAAGAGGAAGCCATAGAGATTGTGGACATGAAGGATCAAGTACTACGTTCCAAGACCATACCACTAGTAAAGGTATTGTGGAAAAATCATGCTTTGGAGGAAGCTACTTGGGAGCGGGAGGATAATATGAAAATTCGATATCCACATCTTTTTCAAGGTATGAACTAGACTAAACAAACGAATAAATTTCGTGGACGAAATTTTCCTTTAGGGGGGTAGAATTATAATATTCCCAACTTTTCATCTAGAGCCAAACACACTCCTATGTTAAACTCCATTTAGGATATCTAAACCCAACCCCAAACTTGATGGTAGGTGTAACCAAACCCCCCATTTCAACACAAAAAAAAAAAAAGAAGAGAAGTGCAGATTTTTTTTTCTTCATTCTTCATTCTCTAACTTCTCTCTACTTTCTCTCTCATTTTCCTTTACTTTCTTGGAGGCCAAACACCACACCTTTGCTCCACCCTTACACCACCACCTTGACCCACCATCTCCACCACCTCCGGCCACCTTATCTCGCCGGAAAATGGGTCCGGTCGGCACTCCTTGAATCCATCCGAAAATAACACAATAGAAGCACAAACTCTAGATTTTTCTTAATCTTTTGAAGAATCAAAGCATGGGATTTATTTTCTTGATGGATTAGAGGCTTGTACTTGGTAAGAATCTTTCTCTAAAAGTTTAGTTGAAGGTTTTACATATTTTGAGTTAGAGATGATGAAATTTTTGTGTTTTAGATCTATTATGATTTGGGGTTTGCTTGTTGAATTTTATACTCTCAATTAGTTTCCATGAATGTTTTACATGTTTAAAAAAAAAAAATGGTCAATTTGATGGTTGATTTGGAGATTTAGATTTTTGGGTTAATCTAGGGTTTGAATGTGATGTAAAAATTGGGGATTTTGGTGTTAGGGAATTTATATGTTGAAATTGAGTTGATAAATGATGGATTGGGTATCTCTATGTTCTATGGAGGAATTTTATAAGTGATTGAAGAGATTTTACTTAAGTTGTTGAGTTTATACAAAAATGTTGATTTTTGACTTTTGTAGTAAATTGATGGTGGTATTGTGCATATAAATTGATTGGATATTTAAAAAGTTACTAACTCAAAGATGTTCAAAGGATGGGTGTTATGGAGATTGGATAAGTTATTTGTTTGGGTGATTTAAAGTTGGAGGAGTTCTTTAGCTTGCCATTCCTTAGCATAATTTTATTTAGGATCATTTTTGTAGATGTTGTAATTTTCATTGAAAGCTTTTCCTAATTTGAGATCCTATTTACTAATTGTTAGGATTGGAGGAAGGCATCTCTCCACCTCTTGGAAATTAATTTGTAGAGTTTCAAATCTACACTTTTGCTATTTTTGGAGGTGAGTATACTTACCATGGAAATTACCTTACCTCTATCTTTATTACAAAGTTTGAAAATAATTTTTGAATTAAAGGAAGTGAATGATACATTTCATCATGATATATGTATAAAAAGAAAATCTATAAATTTATTGAGGCCAAGGGTTGAGTTTTAATAAAGATACGATTTCATTTGTATAATGAAGCATTAATTTTTTTATGAGAATTTATTTAAGTTGAGTCTTTCAAATTTTATGATGATGATGATTGAATGACAGTGAAATGTTATGTGAGGGTATTTATTTTATTGATCATATAACCGAATATAGCCTTTGGGGCCACAAGGGCCAAAATGCTTTGGGGTCCTGGGGACCGAAATGTTTTAAGGACCATAAGGGTCGTTGTATGTATAAGGGGTCCTGGGGACCGAAACATTGAAACAAGAATTGAAGTGCTACGATGACATGAGCTATGCTCCTATGGTTATGTTCTGGGTAACGGTACCGTCACCACCTAAGTCGCGAGGTAACGCGACCCTAAGGCTATGTAGTGGATTGTATGATGGACAGGAAATCTTAATGTATTGAAAAGTTATATTTTTGTTTACTTTCATTATCCAAATGTATGTTTTTTTTTCTGCCTTATGAGATTCCTTGGAAAAATCCTGATAACGTTTTATGAAAATTGTACTGCATCATTTTTATTTTTATTTTGTATAAATTGAAGTCCAATTAAGCTCTTATGTTTAGTATCTTTATTTTGAACCCTATTGGTAGGAGCAAGTTTTATAACTCCATGGTATTGGTATACTCATTGGGCTTTAGCTCATTCTTTTAAATAATTTTTTTTCAGATTCATAGACTTTTGTGTGGCTCGCCTCAACTTGGAAGACTAGAATTTTTTGAAGGATCACAGGTGGGCATCTTGTGGTTGAGGTTTTGCTTAGGGTCATTCTAGGATGTAAGCTTACCCTTTTTTTTATGAAGGAGGTTGATTGTAAAAATTGCTTATGAAGTTGGATGTATTGATGGATTCGTGATTAGTATGTATTATATTTTTTTTGGGAGGAAATGCTTGGGAACTATCTTGTAGCATGATAATATTTTTTTGTCTTTGAATAGATCATCTCATATATGTTAGGCAATTGAAAGGTGCTATAGCGTTTGAGGTGCACCCTCTTGGCAGGGTTTTGCCTTGCCAAGATTGGGTCGTTACATTTTTGGTATCAGAGCATTTGGTTATGAATCTGTAGACTAGTTATTTTAGAATTAAAGTTGATAGGGTATTGTAGTTAGTAATTCGATTAGTGATGATGTTTAATAGCGATCTAGTATTCTAAGTTTTAATTGTCTTGTTATACAGGCGCGTATGGCAAGGCGAAGAGTTCATAAGAGTCGCCCCCTTATGGAAGTACTTGAGGCTGAGCGAGAGCCACATCTTAGTGTTGGAAATGAAGTTCCACCTCGGGTTCAGGAAGAAGAGATTGAACATGAATCGCATAATGAGCAAACTCAAGAGTCAAGTGCCAATCCAGAAGTGGGACATTCAGATAGAGTCGTACCACCAAGGGTTGACACAGCTCCAGCATTTTTAGACCCTAGTGTGCAGCGCCTTTTAGAGTCAATGGCTAGCCTAGCGGAGAGGCAGACTCACATCCTTGAACAACAGAATGCAGCACAGTCAAGGCCATTTGTGCAACCTACAGAGAACCGCCTCACCGCAATTGAGAGGTTCAAGAAGTTGGGGGCTCCATCATTTTCTGGATCGCCCAATCCTATGGAGGCAGAGGCCTGGTTAAGGAGGGTAGAGAAGATATTTTCTGTGATAGAAGTATCAGACGAGCAGCGAGTTGCACTTGCTAGTTTTATGCTGGTGGAGGAGGCTGAATATTGGTGGGAGGCCACGCAACGCCTACTTACGGCAAGTGGCACCGGAGGATTGACCTGGAACCAATTCACTAAGGTTTTCAATGACAAGTACTTTCCAGCTACCTATCGGTATGAAAAAGAAAGAGAGTTCCTTCGGCTAGAGCAAGGGGATTTGACTGTAGCTCAATATGAAGCTAAGTTCATTTCTTTATCTCGTTTTGCCCCTTCGTTTGTGGATGATGAGGAGGTCAAATGTCGTCGTTTTACAGATGGGTTGGATTTGGACCGGATTGGGGTAAAATCAGGACCAATTCGTTATCTACGGTTCTTGATACGGGCCTTCTTGGTCATATGTGCGAGAAGGTCTCCTAGCCCAGAATTCTCTCTAAGGCATTTTCGACACTCCCTAATTCTGTCTTTATGCCTGAAACTCAAAAAATTTAACTCGAGACATGCTAGAAAAATCAAACAAGGTTTGATTCACAAACACCGTCAAGTCACATGATGCTCAAGACTTCAAAAGCAAAATGAAATGTTTGACTATACAGGTTCAAATCGGGTCATCACAACTATGCAATTGTTATTCTCATAATGTCTTTAATGTAAGCCAAGTCAGTAGTTGGCCTCCATAAATATGTTTCAGCTTTTATTGCGTAATCTATCCAAACTCTCACGGCATTTGGTCCAAGAGGAATGTAATGGACAAACTCTTTCGGATCACTTGAAGACTAACATTTTTCAACACCTACTTTCTCCGACCCCATCCAATCTAACAACTTGCACATCTTATTATGACTGTTAGTGTTCTGACTCTTTAGTAACAAGGCAACTACAAATAAGAGAAACTGTCACTTATATAGGATTGTTAGCTCTCTCTCTCTCTCTATATATATACACACACTATATTAATATGTAAACACTCTAGTTTGTTGATTACAAATAAAACTTTCTTATGTGTTTTCTCTTGAATTCTTCAAATTTTTCTCTAGAAAACCTGTCTGGAAAAGCATTTTTGTGACACACACATTTTAATTTGTTTTGTCTTAAAGGCATCTATCACGACCTTATCCCGCCGTTATAGGATCGTGAGGTGACCGGACAATAATCCTTGATTACCAAAGGCCTAACTCAGCAAATCACGGAATGGACTAACATATATAACAACGCTTAAAGCGAAAACTTCATTGTGAATTCATGAAGTCCATTAGAACAATGCATAAGTAGATATGAAATGAAACATACAGTCTTCATTACTTAACTTCTGAATAATTTGCATCATGTATATAGATTACAAAAGGAATAAATATATACATTTACAAAGTACAAAAACCTATTAACTATTACATAACTCATCAAAATCTCAACTTTCAAAAGTACAAAAGTATCAAAAGAGTTAACAAACAAAAGACTTCAAAAACAACTTCTCATAAGTTAGTCTCTACCGTTGCTCGTCGTAATTGATCGCCTACATACATATAAGGGTAAGGGGTGAGCCAAAGGTATATAATATCAAAGTAAAGTGGTAAATGAATGAATTCCAAGCATTTGCAAAGTATTAATTTCAATTCATAATTCCAAAACCAATTGAAGATTTCTAATAAGAATATTCCATATTTAAAACATGATAATGTGGTACATCCATTAGAGTAAAGCAAAACAAACCATTCTCAGTTATCAAAGGGAGATCTCAATAATGGCCATGGTACGAAAATAAACATCCTCCAATGGTTAGGACTCACTAAGGATGTCACTATTAGATTCATCAAAATATATGACATTCATTCATTCGGAAACAAAATAAGGATTTCTCAATATATAACATATCGTCGAGTTTTCAAAACTAATTTTCAAACATAGCTTTACAATAATATTACTCACAAATGGCTTGTGCATGGAGTTACTACTTACAGTCTTGACCTACACAACAAGAATATGAGAATTGATAAAGCGAAAGTAAAACAATTAGACTATCTTAACTTTAGTTTTTCTTTTCTAATTAGACATGGTTTAAGTCGGTTTATAATTGTGTTCAATTTTTGTTTAGGTTGAAAACATGCGTAAGGGTGTCCGATAGGTCAAAAGAAATGAAAAGTACTCAAAACAAACAAATGACTTGTTTGGCCACTCGTGCGCTGGAGTTAGGCCACACGAGCGAAGGTCTAGCATAATGCATTTAAGCGTTAGGAACACGTGAATCTGCCTTAGCCGCACGTGCGGTGGGTTGGTTGTTTATGCGATGGTCTAGGCCACATGAGCAGTGGTTCAATATAGGGTGGTTTGGTTTTTGGCCGCTCGAGCTCCCATTGAGCAGAATTCTTGTCAAGTGCGTGTTCTTGGTGTTCTTGTTGTGCCAACTCCATTTTATTCATCCTAAGGCTGCATAGCATGATATTTAATATACTAAAGCATGAAAACATGATGCAAGGTTCATGAAAACTCATTTGAATTCATGAATTCAAGGTTAAACCAATCAAAAACAAAATTCAATTCAAGAATTCCTCAATTTAGCTCATTTTCAACCCTTTCTTATTTTTCCTCATTTCAATCCTCAAAGCATGATATTTTGACTTCAAAACATCAATAAAAGTCGTGGGTTATGTAGATAAACATTCATATGCAATGAATTCAAGGTAAGAACAAGTCAAAACATGATTTTCTTGCAAATTCTTCAATCCTAATTCCTTTTTACAAAACTTTCATCAAAACTCCAACTTAGATTCTTTAAAACCTATACTAAATTATTTTCTAGCTAGATTAAAGCAACAATACAAGATAAAGGGTTGAATTTCTTACTATTGATGATTTCTCTTGATTTCCAAGCTTAGGGTTTGTTGTTCTTTAGATTTCTCTTCTTTCTCTTCTTCTCTAGCTCTCAAGAACAAGACTCTCTTAACTTCTCCACAAAGCTTCTCATATTTTCTTTTTCTTTTTGTTCTATTTTTTTTTATGAAGAATAATTAATTAGCTTAAGTGTTTCATTAATTGTCTCATTAGCTTAATTAACCAAGTTTAGTTCTAATTAACCACACCTAGTCATTAATCTCCATTAGCTTAATTAATCTTGCTTAGGCTTAAGTTAATCCTACTTAACTTTTGTTAATCTCACATAATTTTTAATTAAGTGCTTATTGAACTCTACTCATTAGACTAAGATAGTTAAGCTCCTCACTTAAGGTTTCCTAGAACATCTAAGTGTTCAATTCTCAAGTTCAAGATAGATTTTCCTAACTCTACATTGTCTGTGATTGCCGGTTTTATTGCGTGTCGTTTCATTTTTGTCCTCTTTGAGTTTGTGGTGTTCGAGAGCTTTCCTTCAAACTTCGGTTCTTGTCTAACTCCGGGTTGAGCGTCACTTGTTTCAGAGGGTGCACGGTCGAGTCCGGAGTGCCTGGGAGCGAACCAGAAAAATACTGGGCTGCTGGGCCACGGCTGCACATGCGGGATAGGGCCGCATGTGCAGGGGATGAGGCCACACATGCGGAAAGAATGAGCTTTGGAAGGTTGCACACTGCCTAATAAGCAGGTGCAGAGTGAGGTGCAGGAAGGGACCACCGCACGTGCGGGGGTGAAGGCTGCACGTGCGGGGGAGACGCTCCACACGTACGGGAGAGAGCGCTGCACATGCAGGCTTCTGGGCAGCCCGAAATCCTCTGTTTTTCCTTCTTTTGGGGCTAAGTGTATCTCATTTATCCTATATCTCTCTCTCTAAAAACACAATTCTCTCCATTCTCTCTACATTTCACACTAAAAACACCACAAGATCTTTGATTCCTCCAAATCCATACACATTTTGACCTAAGTTCCTTCATCAAAGTTGGAGAGCAAAGCAAGAACTACATTGTGTGCGGTGGAGATTGAGTTTTGGCACCTTTTGATTCTAGGGTTTCTTCTCTCATCTACTCCAAAATTTAAGGTAGGGACTTCTTGAGTTATATATATATATATGTTTTGCAAGTATTGATGTGGGTTTTGGGTTTGCTTTGGAAATATTATGAGGGTTTGATTTTGGCTCAAGAATATAAGGTTCTTTGTTTTAAAAAAAATGGGTTTACCTTTTGTTTTTCTTGCCATATTAGAAAACTTGACTATATTATGGAAATGGGGACTTGAGGAGAAGATTTCTTGTGAGAAATGAACAATTGTTTGGTTTTTGGGCAATAACCTAGAAATTTGAGACTTTGTGAAAGATGTTGGAAATATGTGGGTATTTTTACATCATCATGTTAAAATAAAAGAATGATTGGAAAATAAGTTGTGGAAAAGAAGTGTAACGTGTTACATAAAGATTGGAAGTGCAGAATGAAGAAGAAATGGGAGAAGCTTGTGGATGCGGGAACTAATCCCTATGCTCATCCATACAAAGGAATCAAATTAGATGATTGGAAGTATTTGATTGATGAAGTATGGTTAGATCCTGCAAACAAGGTATGTTATTATTTAGTTATATAATAATAATGTATTATTAACAAGCTCTGTGAAATCATATAGAATGAAGGATCAAATTATCTACCTATAAATGCAAAGTATTTGACCACCTTCACAAGGCTTCTTAGTACTGTTATCATTGTTTAACTATATATGTCACAAACCCTTACAATGTGGATTTTTGTATCTAACCATGACCCAAAAAAAATGACCTAGTACTTTAACTATATATGTAATAAACCCGTACAATGTGGATTTTTGTAGTGTCACTACGAATAATAACCATTAACCATTCCCATAATAGACTAACTCGCATTGACAATCTACTGGGAAAATAAACCATGCCTGCAAACTGTTATTACCGTCTAACCTCCGATCATAAACATTTACTCTGACCAACCCACTAGCATTGGGTGCACAAAGGGGAGAATATTTTATCAACCTTAATACTTTTTTGTTTGTATCTTAACCTCAATTGAGAAAATAAATTAGGCAACGCAAGTTCAATACAACTGAAATCACTTGCCGAAACACCTTCAACAACCCCAGTTTTTATATCGTCCACCTCCATTAACCTGAACATTAAAAATAAAAATACATCAAATTACAATTCTAAACAGTTTTAAAGTACATTTGACTCCTTAAAGTAATTTTGCATTCCTTTCCACTAACAGTAGCAGCCACTAAATATATGGCACCCTTTTGAATGCTTCCAACATTTCCCAACAGCGTATCTTTGTAGTCCGTCCAAACATCAACTGGGAAGAACCGGTCTACAACTTCTATCCCGTGACGAACGTACTCTTTGTCCTTGCCACCAACGAGCTTGAATCTCATTTTCTTTAGCATCCGAAAACGGTCGGACTGGTCAGGATCAACAATCCAGGTCTCAGGATTACCCTCGCCAACTCCAATAAATATCTTGTCAGGTGTAGGGACGGAGTCTGACGGACTATTATCACTGATGACAAAAAACATTTGGGGCCACAAGGGCCAAAACGCTTTGGGGTCCTGGGGACCGAAATGTTTTAAGGACCATAAGGGTCGTTGTATGTATAAGGGGTCCTGGGGACCGAAACATTGAAACAAGAATTGAAGTGCTACGATGACATGAGCTATGTTCCTATGATTATGTTTTGGGTAACGGTACCGTCACCACCTAAGTCGCGAGGTAACGCGACCCTAAGGCTATGTAGTGGATTGTATGATGGACAGGAAATCTTAATGTATTGAAAAGTTATATTTTTGTTTACTTTCATTATCCAAATGTATTTTTTTTTCTGCCTTATGAGATTCCTTGGAAAAATCTTGATAACGTTTTATGAAAATTGTATTTCATCATTTTTATTTTTATTTTGTATAAATTTAAGTCCAATTAAGCTCTTATGTTTAGTATCTTTATTTTGAACCCTATTGGTAGGAGCAAGTTTTATAACTCCAAGGTATTGGTATACTCATTGGGCTTTAGCTCATTCTTTTAAATAATTTTTTTTTCATATTCATAGACTTTTGTGTGGCTTGCCTCAACTTGGAAGACTAGAAATTTTTTGAAGGATCACAAGTGGGCATCTTGTGGTTGAGGTTTTGCTTAGGGTCATTCTAGGATGTAAGCTTACCTTTTTTTTATGAAGGAGGTTGATTGTAAATATTGCTTATGAAGTTGGATGTATTGATGGATTCGTGATTAGTATGTATTATATTTTTTTGGGGAGGAAATGCTTGGGAAGTATCTTGTAGCATGATAATACTTTTTGTCTTTGAATAGATCGTCTCATATATGTTAGGCAATTGAAAGGTCTTATGCACTTTTAGTGATGTGGTGATGTGATGTATGAATTATACAGGAATTGTGGTGTAAAGATGCTATAGCGTTTGAGGTGCACCATCTTGGCAGGGTTTTGCCTTGCCAAGATTGGGTCGTTACAGATTATTTCGTCAAGATAGCAATCGTAATGAATTTTGGTCGAGTAATCGCAATAGGATGGAAATGAATATTGATAATCATGATGGTGGCCCTCAAATTAGTTCATACTATTCAAAACCTGATAAATTATAATATAATTTAAATATAAATTTAAATTGATTTTTTCCAATTATTGTTTAATTGCGATCTAGTATTCTAAGTTTTAATTGTCTTGTTATACAGGCGCGTATGGCAAGGCGAAAAGTTCATAAGAGTCGCCCCCTTATGGAAGTACTTGACGCTGAGCGAGAGCCACATCTTAGTGTTGGAAATGAAGTTCCACCTCGGGTTCAGGAAGAAGAGATTGAACATGAATCGCATAATGAGCAAACTCAAGAGTCAAGTGCCAATGCAGAAGTGGGACATTCAGATAGAGTCGTACCACCAAGGGCTGACGCAGCTCCAGCATTTTTAGACCCTAGTGTACAGCGCCTTTTAGAGTCAATGGCTAGCCTAGCGGAGAGGCAAACTCACATCCTTGAACAACAGAATGCAGCACAGTCTAGGCCATTTGTGCAACCTACAAAGAACCGCCTCACCGCAATTGAGAGGTTTAAGAAGTTGGGGGCTCCATCATTTTCTGGATCGCCCAATCCTATGGAGGCAGAGGCCTGGTTAAGGAGGGTAGAGCAGATATTTTCTGTGATGGAAGTATCAGACGAGCAGCGAGTTGCACTTGCTAGTTTTATGCTGGTGGAGGAGGCTGAATATTGGTGGGAGGCCACGCAACGCCTACTTACGGCAAGTGGCACCGGAGGATTGACCTGGAACCAATTCACTAAGGTTTTCAATGACAAGTATTTTCCAGCTACCTATCGATATGAAAAAGAGAAAGAGTTCCTTCGGCTAGAGCAAGGGGATTTGACTGTAGCTCAATATGAAGCTAAGTTCATTTCTTTATCTCGTTTTGCCCCTTCGTTTGTGGATGATGAGGAGGTCAAATGTCGTCGTTTTACAGATGGGTTGGATTTGGACATCAAATCTCGTATCCGAGTATTGGGAATAACTAACTATTCGACCTTGGTTGATAAAGCCTTAACCGCTGAGAAAGATGCCATAGAAATGAAGTTAGTGGAACAATAGAAGAAGCGCCACCTTAATTCATCCCATCATGAGAACACATCTACTAGACCGTCAAAGAGAGGTGGTCATGGTTATGGTTCAGTCAAGAGCTCTAGTGCATATCAAAAAAATAGAGAGCATCCCACCCCAACCCAAAGCATTTCTAATCAGCGTCATGGACAGTCTAGTGGGACATCATCTCAGTTTACTCGAACTGTTTGCAAGCAATGTGGGCGGGCACATACAGGTGTTTGTCATGCTGGTACCGACTTGTGTTTTCGTTGTGGCCAGAAGGGTCATTTGGTGAAAGATTGCACAGTTCCTAAAATGACTAATTTGGGAGATACACGAGCTTGCTTCAATTGCGGACAACCCGGACATTCGGCTAGGGATTGCACACGAACTGCTTCATCTGCTAGTACTGGAGTTGGTAGTAATAAAATTTCAGGTGCCAGCCGAGGGGGAAGCTGAGGAGGAGGTCAGGTTGGGACTAGGTTTGGCAAGCAGAATAAAGGAGGTGTTCAATCCGATAGTTTATATTTTATCAAATTGACGATTTTACCCTTAAAAAATCTAATAACATTTTCAATTGTCCTTATTTGGAACAAGATTCAAAATTCAAGATCAAATGTGTCACAATTGAAAAGTCAGGGATCAAAGTGAAACAAGTCCCAAACTATAGGGACTATTAATGTAATTAACCCAAAAAAAAATATTTAATATTATTTTATCTTCTTAAAATGTGAGCCGTTAAAAGAAAAAAGTTTGTTGAGACAGAGACACTACCCCCGTTTGGGATTACACTTTGGGCTAAAATCGTTATATAAAATAAAATTAGTAATTTTAGTTAAAGAAGATAAAATATCATATTTAATTCATAATTATTTTATTTTTTCTCTTATAAAAGTTAAAAAAGTCAAAAAACCTATCACAAACAAGATTTTTTAATCTTAAGTTAAAATAATCAAAAAATAAAAAGACTAAAAAATCAACCCACATTCTAAACTAACGCACTGAAAGACTTGGGGGTGAAGGTTACAATACAGGCAATAGGATGGAAATTAATATTAATGGTGGAAGCAATCATAATAGAGAAAATTTTAGGTCTGCCCCTTGATTTGATCGAGAATTGAATGTTGATTATTTCATCAAGGTAGCAATTGTAATGAACGTTGATTGAGAACAGTGTCTAAGAAAAAAGTTTACAAGAACAATGGACCAAGAACAGTGTCTAAGAAAAAAGTTTATGACCAAGAGCAGTGTCTGTCTAAGAACAGTGGACCAAGAAAGAATAGTGTCTAAGAAAAAAGTTTACAAGACAGTACTAATATTTATGGCCAAGAACAGTGTTTAAGAAAAAAGTTTACAAGAACAGTGGACCAAGAACAGTGTCTAAGAAAAAAGTTTATGACCAAGAGCAGTGTCTAAGAACAGTGGACCAAGAACAATGTCTAAGAAAAAAGTTTACATGACAGTACTAATATTTATGACCAAGAACAGCGTCTAAGACAAAAGTTTACAAGAACAGTGGACCAAGAATAGTGCCTAAGAAAAAAAGTTTATGACCAAGAACAGTGTCTAAGAAAAAAGTTTACAAGACAGTACTAATATTTATGACCAAGAACAGTGTCTAAGAAAAAAGTTTACAAGAACAGTGGACCAAGAACAGTGTCTAAGAAAAAAAGTTTATGACCAAGAACAGTGTCTAAGAACAGTGGACCAAGAACAGTGTCTAAGAAAAAAGTTCACAAGACAGTACTAAGAAAAAATTTGCTATCGACCACTAATGGGTCAATTGTAGCCTATCGTTGGTCTATTGTAGAAACTTTGGAAGCAATTAATTCAAGTGGATTGGAATTAATATTTATGACCCATGACTCTGGAATTAATATTTATGACCCATGACCAAGGTTCTAAATCGCGGTATCGGGTAACGTAACGGTATCGATCGCGGAGTATTGGTATCGGTATCGGTAGTATCGATCGGTACGTATCGGGAATCGGGTGTCGCGGTGGTGAAATTTTAAAAATCATTTTAAAGGTTTTTCAACTTTTTCTTTCCCGTACCGGTCCGAACCGGTGAGTATCGGCCCGTCGCGGCTTGTGTAACGGCTTGTGTAACGCTTACAGACCGATACGTACCGGGACTTGGCCGATACTCCTGCGATTTTTAATCTCAGTGGTATATCGGCCTGTATCCGTCGCGGCACCCCATTTTTCCGATACGTATCGGCCGATACGTAGCGTATCGGCCGATATTTAGAACTATGCCCATGACTCTGTGCCATTGTGGTATGTTATCCAACTCTCATAATAAAGGTTGTGGGTTCAAGTCCTATCTGAGCAACCCACTCATAATAAAGAGCAACCCTTTCTCTCTTCTCTTTCTCTTCAATCTGTTTGATTCTAGGGTTTCAAATTGGTTTAATTTTTGTTTTTTACAATTGGACCCCCACTTCAAGTTTTGGAAATTATGTTTTCAACCACGCAGTGTCCAAAACGTGTCCCAAACATGTCCGTTTGCAAAACATTCAAAAACAAAAGGGACACTCTTGGGAGAGTGTTGGACACGTGTCCCACACGTGTCCGACACTGATACATAGCTCTCGAAGAGGTGTCTGTGCGTTATACAATAAATATATTTTACATTAAAAAGTTATAATAAATAATAATATTTAAATGTAAAAAAGAGTTATCGTTGAGATTTTGCCTAAAACGTCTATCTAGGGTTGAGCTTTCCCTATTTCAGATTAAATAATACTTCAATTTTTATAGTTATGAAAGTGTATATTTCAATATATTTATGTACAATGATTTCTCTCTGAATGAAAAAATAAAAATTTATTGTGGATTTTGAACGCAACCTCCCTAATAATAATTCTTACATCCGCCACCAACTCCACACCATTCATCACATGATACTTGTCATGTTGTCTCTCAAACACTAAACAAAAATTATTGAGTCTTTGACAAATAGAAATCAAGTAGAAGCACCATATAGACTTGCCTAATCACCAAATAATTTTCCATATAGTTGTGTGTATAGCAAATTAAAAATTGACATTGTCGGACAAATTGAAGAAGTTCTTTTTAGCGAAAATTATCAAAAAGTCCTATGTTAGAAACAGTTACTCCAATCAATCTCATATTTTTTTTATTTCTTAGATAAGTCCTATTGGTATTGATAATATGACTATGAGATCCTATTTTGTATGTTTGATAATTTTTGATGGATGGTTGTACGTGTACCCTTTCCCACTGTGACTGTAACACCCTGAATAATACCTATTACGGAATTAATACGATAATCTTTTTTTGAAATACCTTAAACTAAATTAGTTATCGTATAATATTAAATAGTTAAATTGATAATATTAAATAGTTATTGTATTTCACTAAAAGATGATAATATAATTATTATGGTGTTTTTGGCCAAAGTGAAAATTAGGAATGGTGTGAAATTCTTTGAATTGCAATTCAACATGATGTAGGGAGCCATGTGTATGGCATGCTGTAGGGAGCCTTGTGTTTGTTGTATAAAATGTATATGTAAATAAAATAAACAAATTCATATAATTAGATTAAAATTATAAAATAAGTAATCATGGACTAAAACATACTAAAATTTACAATATGATGAACAAAAAACATCACCAAATAATATATGCTATTTTATACAGATTATAAACTAATATATAGAAATATATATATATATATATATATCAAAATAAAATAGTAAAAATAAGCAAATCAAAATCTGTGTAATACCACAGTTTCCTTAAAACAAATTCGTCGCCTCACCGAGGGTGATAGAGGTATGTTGATGTCTGTCTCTCAAGATACGACTGTTAGAAACCTGCTAACACAGAAACACCTTCTGTTTAGCTCCGGTGAATGACAATGACAGCACTCTCTCACGCAGGAAGCATATACTAGGAGCAAACTGACTATATAATATGGAAGCCAAAAAATTCTACGTGGAATACTCAAAGAAGGTCTTTTTTTATACACAACAGGGGAGAGAGGAGTAAGTTTTTTTCCTTATTTCTCTTGTTGGTTTTTCTTCAATAATTACAGGGCTACTATCCTTCACCTCTTTTCCTAACCAACATAACTCCTATTAATAAGAGTTCTTTGCACCTCCATTATGAAGCATTAGCTATCATCATCAAAAACCATAAAATGGTTTTCAAACTCATCAACCACCATAAAATGGTTTTCCTACTCATCAACCATCATGAAATGGTTTTCATACTCATCAACCATCATGAAATAAAATGGTTTTCATACTCATCAAAAACTACCATAATTAAACAATTTTTTCCATTCAAACCATTTTTTTTTTCAACAATCCCCTACGTGAATAAAAATTGACCGAATAAAGAATAATGGACATGTTTAACACCAAAGGCTCATATCTTAACACCCAGAATCACATCTGCAAGACTTATATCTTTTATGTCAAACTTAGAGTTTAAAAATCTCTTGGTAGCTCTAAACATCTCATCATTACTATCAATAATGAGTATGTCATCAACGTATAGACACAAAATGACATAACCTATGTCAATATCTTCGACATATACGTATTTGTCACACTCATTGATTCTAAACCCATTTGACAACATATTGCTTCAAACCATATAATGACTTGACAAGCTTACAGATTTTCTTAGTTTGCCCTGGAGCTGAAAACCCCTCGGTTTGCTCCATGTAGATTTCTTCATCTAAATCTGCATTTAAGAAAGTTGTCTTTACATCCATCTAATGTATCTCCAGACCACGTAAAGCTGCTATCGCAACCACCATGTGAATGGAAGTAATCTTTGTTACAGATGAATACGTATCAAAATAATTCAAGCTTTCTCGTTGCTTGTATTCTTTGATAACTAGCCAACCTTTATACATATCAATTGACCCATCGGCCTTCATTTTTCTTCTAAAGATCCGTTTACTCCCCAAAGCCTTACTGCTTGGGGGTAGATCAACCAACTCTCAAGTATGGTTCTGTAAAATGGAGTCAATCTCACTTTTAA